TGTAGCAGCTAGGACCTGATTGCTATCATAAGTTGTAGCAGCTAGGACCTGATTGCTATCATAAGTTGTAGCAGCTAGGACCTGATTGCTATCATAAGTTGTAGCAGCTAGGACCTGATTGCTATCATAAGTTGTAGCAGCTAGGACCTGATTGCTATCATAAGTTGTAGCAGCTAGGACCTGATTGCTATCATAAGTTGTAGTTTCACACATGTGCAGATGTATATATTTCTGCAACCAAGTCTCTAACAGAAAATGGGTCTACTCATGATCAAGCTAAACTTATATGGTGACAAAGTCTCAATAACTGTGATATCTTTGTAAGTCACATAGTCTGGCCATGTTTGTGGTAAACTAGAAGTGATTTGTTACCTGAAGGATATATGTTACCATATATGTTGTCCAAAAGAGTTATATACACTCTTGAAAACCTGTTGTGTCTTTAATGAACTCTATTAGGATTCAATGAATGAATAAATGAATAACATGTTAAAAGGTATACAATAATGTTTTCAATTAAAACTTTAATGTAATTTAAAATGCTTTAGTTAAGAAGCAGATTAAGGTATCACAAATAACTCCAGGATTCCATTTGTGTATACATATCTGTGATATGGCTAAATCCTGTCTTCACCTAGAAGTTTCATTACATAATACACAGAATTACTGTGACCTTACCTTTAAGCTTTTATTATAATAACCTTTAAGTGAACTGAAAACATATATTATATCAATTTAAACACACAACTGAAAGTCCTATACCAAGTCTTCAACCACCATTGTGTACTTGCAACCATATAACAGCAAGATCAGGCTATAACAGGTTCATACATTTAAAGGGTAAATCATGTCTGTGACACCAAAACAATCAGTTAATCTTCATGTTTCTTTCATCCCCCCACTCTCTATATCAGTATGTAAAGATGTCCCCCTCTCTATACCAGTATGTATAGATGTCCCCCTCTCTATACCAGTAAGTATGTGTCCCCACTCTCTAAACCAGTATGTATAAGTGCCCCCCCTCTCTATATCAGTATTATGTATAAGTGTCCCCTTTTCTATACCAGTATGTGTAAGTGTCCCCCTCTCTATACCCGCATGTATAAATGTCCCCCCCTCTATACCAGTATGTACAAGTGTCCCCCCTCTCTATATCAGTATTATGTATAAGTGTCCCCCCCCTCTATACCAGTATGTACAAGTGTCCCCCCTCTCTATCCCAGTATGTATAGATGTCACCCTCTCTATACCAGTACGTATAGATGTCCCCCTATCTATATCAGTATGTATAAGAGTCCCCCCTCTCTATACCATTATGTATAGATGTCCCCCCTCTCTATATCAGTATTATGTATAAGTGTCCCCCCCCCTTAATCCCGTATTGATAAGTGTCCCCCCCTTCTATTCCAGTATGTATGTGTCCCCTCTCTCTATACCAGTATGTACAAGTGTCCCCCCTCTCTCTACCAGTATGTATAGATGTCCCCCCTCTCTATACAAGTATGTATAAGTGTCCTCCCTCTCTATACCAGTAAGTATGTGTCCCCACTCTCTATACCAGTATGGATAAGTGTCCCCCCCTCTTTATACCAGTATGTATAAGCGTCCCCCCTCTCTATACAAGTATGTATAAGTGTCCTCCCTCTCTATACCAGTATATATAGATGTCTCCCTATCTATACCAGTATGTATATGTGGCCCCCTATCTATACCAGCTCTATATCAGTATGTATACGTGTCCCCCCTCTCTATTATAGATGTCCCCCCTCCCTATACCAGTATGTATAGGTGACCCCCTATCTATACCAGTATGTATGTGTCCCCCCTCTCTATTATAGATGTCCCCCCTCTCTATACAAGTATGTATAAGTGTCCCTCCTCTCTATACCAGTATATATAGATGTCTCCCTATCTATACCAGTATGTATATGTGGCCCCCTATCTATACCAGCTCTATATCAGTATGTAAAGATGTCCCCCTCTCTAAACCAGTATGTATAAGTGGCCCCCTATCTATACCAGTATGTATATGTGTCCCCCTATCTATACCAGGATGTATAGGTGGCCCCCTATCTATACCAGGATGTATAGGTGGCCCCCTATCTATACCAGGATGTATAGGTGGCCCCCTATCTATACCAGCTCTATATCAGTATGTATAAGTGGCCCCCTATCTATACCAGTATGTATACGTGTCCCCCCTCTCTATTATAGATGTCCCCCCTCTCTATATCAGTATTATGTATAAGTGTCCCCTTTTCTATACCAGTATGTATGTGTCCCCACTCTCTAAACCAGTATGTATAAGTGGCCCCCCTCTCTATATCAGTATGTAAAGACGTCCCCTCTCTCTATATCAGTATGGATAAGTGTCCCCCCCCCTTAATCCCGTATTGATAAGTGTCCCCCCCTCTTTATACCAGTATGTATAAGCGTCCCCCCTCTCTATACAAGTATGTATAAGTGTCCCTCCTCTCTATACCAGTATGTATATATGTCCCCCTATCTATACCAGCTCTATATCAGTATGTAAAGACGTCCCCTCTCTCTATATCAGTATGTAAAGATGTCCCCTCTCTCTATACCAGTATGGATAAGTGTCCCCCCCTTCTATTCCAGTATGTATAAGTGTCGCGCCTCTCTATACCAGTCTGTATAAGTGTCCCCCCCTCTTTATACCAGTATGTATAAGCGTCCCCCCTCTCTATACAAGTATGTATAAGTGTCCTCCCTCTCTATACCAGTACGTATAGATGTCCCCCTATCTATACCAGCTCTATATCAGTATGTAAAGATGTCCCCTCTCTCTATACCAGTATGTGTAAGTGTCCCCCTCTCTATACCCGCATGTATAAATGTCCCCCCCTCTATACCAGTATGTATAAGTCTCCCTCCTCTCTATACCAGTATGGATAAGTGTCCCCCCCCCTTAATCCCGTATTGATAAGTGTCCCCCCCTCTTTATACCAGTATGTATAAGTGGCCCCCTATCTATACCAGCTCTATATCAGTATGTATAGATGTCTCCCTATCTATACCAGTATGTATGTGTCCCCACTCTCTATACCAGTATGGATAAGTGTCCCCCCCTCTTTATACCAGTATGTATAAGTTTCCCCCCTCTCTATATCAGTATGGATAAGTGTCCCCCCCTCTTTATACCAGTATGTATAAGTATCCCCCCTCTCTATACTAGTATGTATAGATGTCCCCCCTCTCTATATCAGTATGGATAAGTGTCCCCCCCCCTTAATCCCGTATTGATAAGTGTCCCCCCCTCTTTATACCAGTATGTATAAGTCTCCCCCCTCTCTATACCCGCATGTATAAATGTCCCCCCCTCTATACCAGTATGTATAGGGGTCCCCCTATCTATACCAGTATGTATATGTGTCCCCCTATCTATACCAGCTCTATATCAGTATGTATAAGAGTCCCCCTCTCTATACCAGGATGTATAGGTGGCCCCCTATCTATACCAGCTCTATATCAGTATGTAAAGACGTCCCCTCTCTCTATATCAGTATGTATAAGTGTCCCTCCTCTCTATACCAGTATATATAGATGTCTCCCTATCTATACCAGTATGTATAGGTGTCCCCCTATCTATACCAGTATGTATATGTGTCCCCCTATCTATACCAGTATGTATAGGTGTCCCCTCTCTATACCAGTATGTATAGGCGTTCCCTCCCCCCCCCCCCCCCCCCCCCCCCNAGTGTCCCCACTCTCTATACCAGTATGTATAAGTGTCCCCCCTCTCTATACCAGTATGTATAAGTGTCCCCCCTCTCTATACCAGTATGTATNATAGGTGTCCCCTCTCTATACCAGTATGTATAGGCGTTCCCTCCCCACCCCCCCACCCCCACTCTATACCTGTATGTATAAGCATCCCCCTCTCTATACCAGTATATATAAGTGTCCCCCTATCTATACCAGTATGTATAGATATCCCCCCTATCTATACCAGTATGTATAGATGTCCCCCTATCTATACCAGTATCTATAGGTGCCCCCTCTAACTGAGTAAAAAGTACTCAGATCACTGATTTCATTAAGCTTATGGGTTACAAGTACATGTGGATTCACACACGTCAGTGAATTTTACACATTTATACACACCGGAGATATCACCAGCAATAACTGAGAGGAACACTTACCTGGTCTTAATATATTACAACCTGATATGACATGTTGCCTCTTGTTGACTTTAAATTGAAGCCCCCACCCTTACATTGTTTACAAAACCAAGATAAAGGTACTTATTTACACTAAAAGAACTGTTAAACTGCTCATTTCAATAATTTCCATATGTATTTGACAATGCATCAGTAAGCACACATCCAAAAGTTTATACACATACACAACTGCACATACATCATATTTACCCTTTTATAAGACTTGTGCTTGACTTTAGTAGAAACATCTTCATCATGGTCGAGTAGACATTCATCACACTCACAGGGAGGGGGGTCCCCTTCCTCAAACTGTCCAAACTCATCGCTTCCCACAAGAGGAGGAACGATATCACTAGTCTCGCTAAGTACATTTCCATTAAGAGTTTCCGTGTCTGAACTGCCAGTATGTGTATAAGAATGATGATCTTGGTGCACCACATGTTGCTTAACTCTGTCATCTGTCTCATTTAAATTTACTGACAGTTCACCGTCTGTATCTGCCTTGCTTTCCTCCATGTTTACACCCGAGTAGAGAGACGAATCGTGTGCCACCTTCCACCCCGGGTGTTTACCTTCACTGGTACAAAGGGCCGTGGCTGTACTTATATTACTCCCACGACTTATAGCTTTTCTTCCTACAGGGTCAAGGCCACCAATCTGCGTCGGCTTTTTACACCCTTGAATGGCTGTGTATTTAAACTGATTCTCAATAATGGATTGCTCCAAACTATCTGAGTATGACTTCCTATTTTGTGTAAAACTTGTTGTTGAAGGTCTGTCTGTGTGCTTGCCTTTGCTCACCCTCCTTGGTTTTGTATGGGGAAGTGTTGTAGAATCCTTACGAGTGTTTGTGAGTGTAGAGGCATGATTACCCTGGGATAAGGCAGTCCTGGGCTGAGGTGAGGATGACCTATTGTGTGTATTAGTGTTAGATTGTATGCAGTTTGACCCTTTGACCTGTGTATCAATACACTGATGGCCGTTGGCTTTTACCTGCCTATTGTCCAGTCTGTTTACCTTATCAGGTGTAGCTAATGTGGCAGGGGATATTATATCATTATTAGGTGAGGCCACATGTCCAACTTGGACCACACTGACCACAGGTAAAACCTTTGCTATACAACTTAATCCTGTCACCCGTTCAGAAAGGTCATTTTCACAATGATTAGGGGACACAGCTGGTGACAATATAAAGTTTCCATTGGATGGTTCCTCCAGGTGTGAAACGTTTTTACCTGCAACAGTTTCAACTTGTTCTGAAAAAGCTAATATTTTGTCATTAGCTGACTTATCCACACTTAATCTGTTCTTTGGATTTTCTACCTGCTGTAAATCCGGTTTACTTATATGAACTTCAACTTGTCTCGAGATGCCCCAAGGTACCTCACTATCAGTTGGCCTGTCCAGGCCAGATCCTTCCCTTGACAATTTGACCACTGGTAAATCCTTTTTATCTATAGCTTGACCATATCCAGGTCTGGGTACTGAGATTGCAGTATTAGGAAATTTAGCTGTAGATCTTGTCTGTGAGACATTGACCAGAGGTAATCCCTGACAATGTTTATCCTGTCCTCCAGATATTTGACTGTTAGGTAAGGACACAGATAAACTGACCGATGAATTGTCTCCCTGTTCTGAAACTGTTATCCCATCAACCTGTTGAATGGTTTTATCAGCACGTTTTCCATCTGTCACAGGAGTTTCATGTTTTGCTTTTGCAGCAGTAGCCTCTGGATATGGCACTGTTGTAATTTCACCTGTGCCCTTTTCCACGTTACATATAACAAGACAGGTAGAACGCATGTCCTTTGGTGTGTCTTGTTTAAAAAGGTTTATCTCATTAAAAGTTAAGGGCAGGGAGGTGACCAATTTGTCAGAATTTGTTGACAGTTTTTTGACCAGGTGTAAACATTTGTCAGCTGTGTAAGCATTACCTGTAACATTTACGTTGTTATGCCTGCCACACACGTCCAGGTAATTTTCAGGTGATGGGCTTAATTGCGTGATCGGTTTGTCACATTCTGCGACAGATACAGTCTCATCCTTGTCATTACAGACTGGCATGGAAGAGGTCACATTAAGTCTGTTTGACTTTAAACTTACAGCCCACTTTGATGGAATGATGGAGTGATGAGTAGGATTAACGGTCCCAGATTGGCTGTTTCTCCCTTCTATAGCTGACTTAGCTCGCTTCTGTATCCAGAGTATGCTGGACTTTTTGAAATCAATTCTGCCATTCGTAGAAGTGATTTGCTCCGGTTTTAATAGTCTCTTATCTAGTTGGCAGATTTTGTTGGTGCACCATAACGAAGGGTATGGTTTCTGACAAGATGTTAACAAAGTACCAGTACTAGTGTCACCACTGCTGTTGCTATGCCACGGTGCGTCATTTGATTTTAAACTCATGTTAATGTCGCAGCTTTCTCCACTCAGCAACAGATGCTGGCTATATTTAAGAAAACCTTTGATAGTTTTTTGTATGCCATTTTTTTTGCTATCACTTTTTGAATGTGCTTTTTCAGATTTTAATTGTGTATCCACAGCAGTGTTGAAACGACTGTCAGTCTGTAGCTCCTCTGGGGGGTGTACACAATGCAGATCAGTTGTTTTTTGTCTATGTAGTAATGGTGTGGCCTGTTTTTTATCTGAACCAATGCAGTCCTGGCTTATTACAGAGCCTTCCTTGACCTCAGGAATATTAACACAAGTATGTTTGTTACCCCCAAGGCTACTGGGCACACTTTTCCTAATTGGGCCTGACCCAGCTGAAGGTGGGTGATGATTGCTGTACTCATCACCTGTCACAGGTCTGTAGCCATCAACTGACACCAGCCTGTCACACACAGCAGTCCCTGTGGCTGTCTTGCTGTTCATCGCAGTTGACAACCGTCCACACCCACGCATGCAAACATCTAATTCATCAGGTCTTGGCAAATCCTCTTTATCGTCTTTAACTAACGAAAACTGTACAGTCTTTTTACAACGGTTTATTTCTTTATGCATGCCAGATTTATTCAAAATGCTGTGAGGTCGCGGATGATTGACCACATGCTGCTGAGGTATAAATGTTTGATGAGATTGTTCATCGTTGCGTTCAGGCCATTCTACAGGCATTGTGGTTTTGTCAGTTTCCATGTTGTTGTCGACCACTGCCTGACATGGTAAAATACTATCTAAATCAATGTGTTTATACTGTTTGTTAAGAATGTCCTTGATATTGTCAGTACTACCAACCAGACCTGGTTTGGTTTTGTAGTTTGTGAGTCCCTTCATTTCCTCAAATGATTTTAAATCAGAAGTATCTTTATTCGTCTCAATGAACATTTGTTGCTGTTGTTTGAAATGTTCTCTAACTGCGTTGGCATTGAAGACTTTACGTACGAGAGGCACGGCTGGTAGTACATCCTTTCCTTCTGTCATTCTGTGTTGAGGCACGGCTGGTACATCCTTTCCTTCTGTCATTCTGTGTTGAGGCACAGGTTTCTGTACATGTTCCTCTCCTGCCAACTTTTTTAGTTGTAGCTCTTCTGTTTGTTGTGAAGGTTGCTGGTTACTGTTGGGGGTATCAACAACAGTCTCCATGACAACATCTGGAGTCAGAGCCCAAATTGACCTTTTCAAGTCATCAATATCTTCTAGCACCTTGTGTACCAGAGAACTTTCCTGTCCAGCTTTGTTAGGTACCAATGTCAGTACTATGGGAGTTTTCTTTAACTTGGAAGTCTTGCCAATAATACATTTTTCACAGGGGCATATCTCCTTGTCTTCACATGTTGTGGCCTGCTCATTACGAATCTGTTCCACTGCTTCTTTTCTTTGTCCCAAAATACACCTTTCACATGGACAGGTTTCTGGGTCCTCACATGCTGCTTGGTTTTTAACTGAACAATTTTCTTTTCTTTTATTTCTACCATGTCCCAAAATACATCTTTCACAAGAGCAAATCTCCTGATCCGCACAAAGTAGACCAGTTAATCCCTCTGTTATACCTCCACCGGTATTTGAACCACTGTATGTAGTAACGACAGACATTGTTTCCACGTCTTAATCTGCTTTTTCCATTTATAATCACAATGAGACTCGTCTTATCTTGTTGATAATTAAAATCCTGATTTAATACTCCCACGTATATAAATCGGACTAGCTATTTGACTGTAGAGAGACTTTCTGATACACACAAATATCTTAAGTGTTTCAGCAAAGTACCCACTTATTTTCATACTTCCTCAAACAATGTTTTTTTAAATCATGCGAGTGATCCATCAACATTTCACAATGTTAATTCCATGTCTATTTGGTTCTGTTGACAGTCTCTAGCAGTAGAGATGATGCCTGTTGATTAAGTCATCTTTTGTGACAGAAACATGTTGTTGTTTACACATTATGTGTATTCAGTCTAATTAATACTTCTTCTGAAAAACATCAAGTCAGAATACACAGCACAAGTTTAATGTCCTCATCAGCTGCTATCTGGTGATAATAAAACACTGTATGCTTACTGAGTACATGTACAACTATCACTATAATTATCACCATCATAATGTGCCTCCCCTGTGTGACACTATTTCCTCGGTGGACTCCCCTATTAAAGCCATGCAGTATGCAGTCCTACTATTTAAAATATTCAACAACTGCGGTGGTGATCGTTATGACAGCGGTAAAGCATGTCTCTTAATTAATATTCCTCAGCTTGGCCAGGTATTTCTCACAAATTGTACGAGACTTTATCACACCTATCTATTATAACACATATCTTACTCGTTACATCGTTCGTAATTAAGGTATATATTTAGAAAGACTACAAATGGTGCATGAATGCTTAGCTCACAATCAAGTCACTTGACCTGGAGTATATATTAAAGCCCCATTTTCTGTATATTTTTCGCCGCCGCCTCCCGTTTCCGTGGTTTTATCAGAGGTGAGCACTGGTGGTATACATCCTGCCTCTTGTCCTAAATGAAGTCAGGTCATTTTCAAGTGATCAGAAGTAAAAAATTCAAGCCACTTTGTTGTATTTTTACTCACAATTTAAGTATGGTAATATACTACAAATTTTGATATGTTGTGCAACAGAATTTGTTTTTGATCATTGTTTATAAATGCATAAGGTGTATGCAGATTATTTCTATCCTGTATATAGACATAGATTTTCTTTTCTTAAAAAAGAAGAAGAAGAAAATTAAGAAAGAAAACCCTCCAAAAAAAATAATTAAAATTTCATTAAATATAAATCTGCTAAACTTCCAGATATTTACCATACAGAGACAATCGGGCAGGACAACAATAGATTTGTTATAACCTCCCTGGAGTGTGAGGGTGTTGGTCACAGAAATATACTTGAGTGACTCTACTGTTCTTTAACACAAGATTATATCTCTCTCTCAACAATATACAGAAAGATATCTAAATGTTTACACACTCGAGTCGGAGACCTTTTTTATCAGCAGGTACATGTCTTTTTATACAAATAGACCTGTTTTCACAGGTATGGTTTATATGCAGTATTAGGTCTATTTACAGGTTGTTATGTTTGTGTTATGTGAAGATGTTGATTATATTGTTTGTATGTGGTGTATACAGTGTACGTATCATCTGTACACAAATACTTCAAGTGATAATGACTGATGATAGCACGGGCTGCTGGTATTATCACACGTTTCTAGTACAAAAGGTTAGGTAGATACTAGAGAACAGTCCCATAGCTTAAGGTCGAGAGGCCGAATACTCTGTGTTGTATCTCCAAAAAAGGAGAGTTCAAATTTGCTTGGCATGGTTCTAATTTGGATTTGCTTACTCATTATGGATTGTGAATTGTGTTTGATTTCACAAACAAATATACATAAAATGTAGATGTCTAAAAAATTGTGTTTCCGGTTTCTTGATCTTTAAAAGCCCTGTCTCAACATGGCAAAAAGAAACATACTGGACCCAATATCAAATTATCCAGTCTTGAAGTACAGATTTAAGACATCAGTTTAAGTCGTTTAAACGGTTTTACTGCAATGTGATTTTTTTACTTGGTCTGTTACTGCATTATCCTTATATCCAGTATCTAGGGATAATATCTTTAGTAAGGTACGTACCAACCTAAGATGTGTATGTTACCTGATGCACAAACTTGCATTTTACACATAAAAGCAAAATAAAGCCTGTAAACAGTAAAGCTTGTCGGGTGAAGTTTTGGTATGATAAAGGAGTTCAACATTGCATTGAAGAAGACATATCAAGGAATTGTAAGAAAAAAGGAAATCGACTTGAAATATGTTGGTGGTAAGCATCAGGTAGCCAAGGAAATATGCGCAGGGCCCATTATATAAAACTACGATGTCAAGACAGGAGAAATTGGTGAGGAAGAATAAAGACATTAGCATTATCAAACCTAGCTGCTACAAAGTAATTCAATAATTTATATGTATATATTTTTTTCTAAGACAGATTCTGATTATATGGTAAGCATAAAACTTGTCAGTTAAAATATGTCACTATGCGATTAAACATAAAATCTATTTTAAAGAGCATGTCATTTTAGCTTGAACTGAACCATATCCAATAAGCATGCGATAATAAACTAACCTGACGCCATCAACACATGTAAATGAAATCTATAATAGTGCCATTAGTCCAGTAGCAACTAAAAGCATTATGCCTGTCAAAAATGTTACATTCAAATTAAAATGATCATACAGTTGTGGGACCGCACAACACACCAAAAATACCATGCACACACCGTCCGCACATCGTCCACACATGGTGCGCACAACTGTGCGATTTAACAATCGTTCGCCCCGTTGTGTGCTTCTCTCCGCACAAATGTGCGATTCGGTAGAATTAGTTGATCAATATTACAGAATGAAAAAATCTGGAGCCCTCGTATAGAATAAGGAACACTGTTCATATAAATTGCTCATCAAGTTAATTAGGATTATGTTTAGTTTTACAATGCGTGTTACACAGCATTACAGTGACCATTAAACTGTCAAGAATGGGTTTAGCTTCCAGGTAACATTTTTATGATTGACCAGAGTTTTACCTGACCCATGCCTTACAAAGAGAGTTGATATGTGATACCGTATGATCGTTATGAAAGCACAACTGGAGTTAAGTATTTGTTATTTGCATTCGTTTTGGTCTATTAGCACCCAGACTTCACCTGGATTTTCACACCTTGGCTATAGTTACGTAAGTGCCCCGGCTGTGGAAAACTACGGTCCAGGTACAGGTACAAAGGGGCTATGTTTACCTGTATACGTGACCGTGTCAATACGTGCATGTGCTATTTTACATGCGTCGATTTGGGTCGCTTAAAAAACACCGAAAACACCATTTCTAAATTTTAGAAAACATAGATAGAAAGATCAGTTGATATATGTAGCTAGAATATAGAAATATACTTAAAAATCAAGTTTATGTGTTTAAACACGAGGCCGTATTTATTGTTCAGCCATTTAGCAATTTACACCAACCATGATTCAGTCATCGCACAACGACGTCCATCGTCCGCACAAATGTGTGCAAACAATAATCGTCCAGATTTCAATCGTTCGCACATCGTGCATACATTGTGCACACTCTGTGCGCACACTGCACATCGTGTAACGTTGTGCGTCCCCACAACTGTATGTATTGATAAATAACCAAGAGGCCCAAGGGCCTTAGCGGTCACACTGAGTTACATTATTGGTACTGGTAACTCAATTTCATTGTTGAGATGTGATGTGGAAATCAACATGTAAACT